CCCCAAAACCCCAAAACCCCAAAACCCCATAAGTGATAAATGCAGAAAGATAAGAGTGTGTATGAATTGATAATTATAAAATGTTTTCATTCTGAATGACCTTCGAGAAGGTTGTTGAGTCCAAGAGTTTCCTCTCCTAGCTTGCATAATAGGCAAGTTTGGCAAACCTGCTTTGCTTGGCTCTTGTTATAAATGCTTCCATCTAACGGGCATCTCACAATACTTTGCTACTTTGTATCTTCTAGTGGAAGTAGACTTGCAGTACATAGATAGCCATTAATTTCCTTTAGGGACACATTCAATTGAGAGTCGAAATTCAATTTATATTTATTTTGTCCCTTAGCTTGGAAAGTCTGATAGTACTTCTTGAAAGTAGGAACAGTGTCTGGTTTGCTAGCGAAAATCTAAAAGTAAAATCAATATAAAATAGCTTACTCCTGTCGGCTCAAGATCAAGAACTTGTCTAGCGAAATGAGCTGCAGTGATATGATTCTCTAGTTTATATGTTGTATTCATTGCATTTTTGTAGGCAAGGAATTTATGAGCTATCTCCATACCGCAAAGAGTCATATAGCAACTTAATTCTGCTACTCTTGTCTTTGCTTCCTCTGTTTATTAGCCAGAACCAACTATCTTTTTCCTCTCCAGTTCGATTCTCATAGCTGTGATGTATTCACTGATTTTCCTTATAAGCTCATACAAATCTTTTTGCTCTTTTTAAGACTTAAGTACTACCATAACTGAAGCTTATAAACAAGATCTAAATTAATCTAGAGCTGAATTGAAATCTCCCTTAGTTGTTAACTCAATACCATTGGTGTACTTTTGAACTATATTCTGATAGCTTACAGGAACAAAAGGAACGTGGCCATTTCCTCTAAGTTAATAATCTAGAGGAGAGGTGTGTGGAAGTGTTTATATCTTAATTTTTGCAAGGGTATAAATGTCAACAAAGAGTTACTTTAATGGTTCAAAATTAGCGATTCCCAGTTATTTCTTTAATATTTCCAATGCTTTCACAAAATCTCCAGTGGCAATATGAAGACTAGCAATATGCTGATTCTTTTTCAGAGCGATCTACAATATATCAGAACCTTAAGAAGGTGGAACAAAAATATCGCTATCTTAATTAGACTCATTTGACTATACTATTTAATCATCATTGCCTCCATTCTCTGGCTGATTGAGAATATCATCATCAATGTCAATATCATCTCCACCCCAAGCATCATTATCTGCAAGAATAGCTGCTCCTGCTGCGGGTTATTAACTTGAATTTTCTTGCTATGTATTTGAGAGAATGTTGGCGACCTATTTATTTGAAGTGTGATATTCCTTTGAATCGAAAAAGGTATCATCACCATCATTAAGCTCTGGATCCTTTTTCTTTTAAAACATTTAAGCTGCTCTTTTTGCCTCCTCTGCTCTCATACTAATCATAGGCCATTCTCTTTATTCTATTATAAAGATTAAATATTGATTGCACTTACAATAATTTTCATTTGAAACATATAAAGGTCTAAGTGGCAATAAGGCTTTACCTCTTCTTGAATAAGTTTCAGCTTATCTAATTATTGCTTCTGGATCAACTCCATCCATACTTCTAATAGATTCCTCTAAAGTTTGCTCGAATTCTTTGAGACCGTGAGTTTTAGCCATCAAATAAGCCAGTGGAATTTATCCAGTTTCTGCCAAGACCTTGACTCTCTCAGCTACATCTCCTGTGAATATAGATGTATTGAATCTTAGTGTATGATCATTCACTGATTGAGCAACTGCTTACATTCTCTTTAGTTTTTGTAAACTTCCAGTAGAGGCATAGAAGAAATTTAACTTGTCAAATGATCTGGTAATTTAGTAGCATTTTTCTGCTGCATCAATATTTCCTAGCAATAGCGATGTCTAAGCAAGTTTTTAGAAGTTATCCTTTTCTTTTAACTCTTTTGCAGCTTCAAATGCAACCTAAATGTTTCCACTAGCTAAGGCCAAATTAAACCTTTACTTGATATCACTTTCAAAAAATAATGCTATTTCAGAATGTCCTTGCTCTTTCAAGTAAGAGACTATTGAATGTCCACATAGATTGCCTTATGATAATATTTCTTTAACTTCATTCAGATTTTTTTGCTGAAGGGCTAGTTTAAATAGATAATCAGTATTATTAACCTCGATTTGATTGAGTTCACCTTGTCTATTGAAGGCATATGCTTAATTTTTCATAAACTAAAATAATCATTACTTAACTCAGGATAAATCTTACGAAAGAGACATAAACTGGTTCATCTAAACTCTTAAATGTTCCTGAAGTTTTTCCCTCACAGAACATGTATTTAATATGAGTTGATGTTGAATAAATGAATGCTTAATTTTCATCGAAACATCCAGTCTTAATTTTTGAGTTTTCTTTTTGCTGATTGATAATCTCAAGATTCTTGTTTGTCATAATGATCTCTAAAATGATAATTTAAAAAGTAAAATTACAAGTTTTTGTAACAATGACACATAAAGTGAATTAGACATTCCAGTTGACCTATTTGACATCATTGCATGCGATTTCATGCATTACCTTTCTTGCGGATATATCATAAAGTTGAAGACTATCGTCACTGTAAATTAAAACCTTGCCTAGAGGACCTGGGTAAATCATGTCTACCTTTCCTGGACCTTTCTTGTTTACTTAGAGTTTCTTGAGGTTAGAACCATCAAAGTTACAAACTGCTAGTTCCTTATTTTAATCAAGAACACATATTTTATCCTTAGAAATGAAAACAGCAGCACTAGTGAAATCTCCTCTCTTTTCTGAAATGCACTTTACGTTCTTTAAATCCTTATGGAATTCGTAAATGATAAAGCAGCCGCTTTCTATTTCAAAGTTTAGAATTATGTCATGAGAGGATTGATTGAAGTAGTTGTAATAAATTGATTTTGGTTAATTGAGCAAAACTTGCTTTCCATTAGTGTTTACTGCTGCCATTATTTATTTTTCCTTGGTTGATAGATCATGATATTGCAAGTTCTTGTTTTTTACATAAAAGATGTGAGAACCAGATCTTACTGAGGCATAGTTTTCTCTTTCGATCTTGAATACTATCATTCCATTATCATAACCTGCTGCAAAATAATTCAGTGAGGGGTGAGCTGCTAGTATCCAAAATCTATCAGTATCTTTTCTGGTTTGAGAGATTTAAACTCTTCTATTTAAGTCCCAGAATCTAAGAGTCTTGTCCTCTGAATTAGATATCAATATCTCCATTCTTGGATGGAATAAAACACATGAAACATTGTTAGCATGTCCCTTAAGTGTGTCCATTTCCCAATGTTTGTTGCCGGATAATCTCCATAACTTGATAGTTTTATCATCAGCTCCTGAGGCAACAATCTTTGTTGTTGGATGAAAGGCAACCCAATTTACTCCTTTATCGTGCCCCTCAATAATATGCTTTACTTCAACTTCAGTACCTCCAAATATTTCATTAGGTCTGCTACCAGTCTTTTGCATACTTTTTTCCTTAAGTCTTGAGAAATCCCAAATTCTTATTGTTTAATCTAGCGAGGCTGAAGCAAGTAGCGTGTCTTCAGGGTGGAAAGTAGCAGCCATAACATAATGACTGTGACCTGTCAAAATAGCTATAACGCTTCTATTCTACCAGTTCCATATTCTTACTGTTTGATCGTCTGAACTTGAACATATCCAAGGGAGCTCCTTATGGAACTCGACAGTTCTTATGTAATCTAGATGCCCGCTCAAAGTGAATAAGCATTTTTTCGTTTTATAGTTCCAGACCTTTACCTTGTGATCATCTCCACCACTGACGAATAAAGGCTAAGTTTCGTGGAAATTAACACCTCTAACCGGACCTAATTAGCGAAAATTCAATATTTTAATTCAAATATTAATGGAAAATGGCGACTATTGATTTATACCATATACTTACCATCATGATCTTCGAATTTCTCGATTAAAACTGATGCTCTATAATCAAATAGATTGATGCTTCCATTATGTAAAGAGGCTAGGATCCATGGTCTATACTTATGGAACGATAAACCCTTTACTCTCTTGCTTTTAGCTTCAAATTTGGTAATCAACATATCTTTAACCTTTTGAGAAAAAATGAAATTATTTATACTTTTCCTAATGTGATTAATTATATAAACTATCATTATTACCCAATAATCACTTCATGGGGTTTTGGGGTTTTGGGGTTTTGGGGTTTTGGGG